AAGAAAGAATGAAAGAATGAATTCTTTATTGGCCAAGTGTGATTGGACAGACAAGGAATTTGTCTTGGTGCAAATGCTTTCAGTATACATAAAAGAAAAGATACATTTGTCAAAAGTCAAGAATCATAAGGTACAATACTTAATGATAGTCATAGGCTATAATAAGCAATCAAATAATACTAGGAAACAGTCAATATAAATCATAAGGATACAAGCGACAAAGTTACAATCACACAGTCACAAGTGGGACGGGATGGGTGATAAGGAGTGATGAGAAGATTGATAGCAATAGTAATACAGACTTTGTAATAGTTGAACAGTGTTGAAGGAATTATTTGTTTAGCAGAGTGATGGCTTTTGGGGAAAAACTGTTCTATTATCAATAATGACTAGGATGATATTGAAGACATACAGAAAACTTTAACTTCTCTGTCATCTAGGGGTTGTCCAGCTTTTTGCAGCCCAGATCTATTGATACACTTTAAAGGTACACAGTAGAAAATATTGAGAGAGAGAGAGGTATGGTCCATCACCAGGACACACAGTAACGTGGCTTCTTTTGGACACTGAGGATTATCAAGGATGCCTTGTGTATCAGAACCAAGCCAGGTGTGGTTTATTCTGTTAAATCGTGGTCAAGAAAACATTGCTTAGCACAATGTGTGAACCAGTCTTTGATGCAGTTGATAGGGAGATAAAAGCCATTAAACAGAAATTCATACTGCTGAATGAACACATTTATCTTAAAACAGAGAAAGCCATAAGGTTCTTTAAGGAGACAGTTATAAAGCTGACAACTGTCCAAGTGTAAAATCATCAGTAATAAAACACACAGTGCAACTAGTGATTTGTTGAAAAAGACAATTTTAATAAATAAATTGAACCTTTGTTCAATTTAGGAACAGTACATAGGAAGGGAACCACATAATTACCTTCTGCCTGTACAAAATCCCAGGTTCATTGTCTATCAGTTCTAGCTAAAAGACACTGATTGTATTAGAATAGCAATAAGCTTAACCTGGGGAATAGGAATGTATTCTTTCCTTGAGGAGCTACCAAAAGAAAGAAGCTGGTGTCAGAAGGTTAACAACTACTTGTTATTAAAGACAAATCCATACAATGATTTTGATGGAGTTACGAGGGTTGCTCCGGATGAGTGACTGGGTGAATGAATGTGCTTTGGTGCTCTTTTTGCTACTAGTCATAGATCGCCATCTGTTGGATTTGCTGAAGCATTGTCCCCATAATGGCACGTATAGGTATCTCATTCACATAATATTGCAATGCTGAAGAAATTGGAACAGGAATGAGTTTGGAACAGAAAGGGATTCTGCTCTTCTCTCCATTTGTCTTGCTCAAGTCCTCACTGAATCCAATTTATTAGAATGATTGTTTCTTCACTTCTTGCTGAGAGTCAGTCTTCAAGATGATGCCAGAGCTACTGCAGGAATGATTGGCCTTTTCAGGCAGTATGTGCCATTATTTGATTTTGTATAAAGTTATATGTGTCTCCTTATCATTGATGTGATCTTCTCTTGCAAGTGTTCCTGTGGGAATACTGAAATCTAATGAGATTAGATAAACTTGCGAGGACTTGGCCATATACAAACATTTTAGCTTTTTGTGGTTACTACTGAGCAGCTTTCCTGGATACTATGGCATCTCAGGAGGCAGTACTGCCAACCTCCCAATCTGGAAAATCTACTTTGATTGATTTAACCTGACCATGTGATTCAATGTCTTCCCAAGAGAAACCAAAGTAATACTGGGATAGTACTGCAATTTATCCACCTCCTCACAGTGCAGTTTCTCCCAGCATCGCTTTGTTGCAAAAAGTGATGGGTAGGAGATACTTCCCAGAGGGCTGTATTTTTACCTATGAGCCTCATTGCCAGATGTATCCGAGGAAGGACTTGGTGAGAAGGGGTGGAAACATCCATGCCTTACTTCACAAAAAAGAGTAGGTTGAGATAGGTTGGTCTTTGCATTACTCTATTCTCCTTGCTTCTGAATTGGAAAGCCACCTGTTCCTTTTGGGCAGTAGGTTCTCTAACAATGTCCAAATCCTTACAGATGGTGTTGACAGAACCTCAACTATCTAGAAGATGGAAGAATCTACAGTGACAACGCTGGCCGTGAGAAAATTTGGCTGCTGGACCAGTGGTAGATTTCATGATGAGTCCCTTGTCATGCTGAGGATCCCTGGAGATACACTGCATCCTTTCATTGCTGTTTCCTTCTGTTCTTCTCTCTGCCTTCTCTCTCTTCTCCATCGCTGTTTCCATTGTGAAGGGCTGCTTATCTTAATGGTTATATCAGAAGCAACACAGCAATTGGGATAGCACACGCACACACAAAAACAACACTTGGCGTAAGCAAAACAAGTTGGGGGACTTCACCTAAGGGCTGGCATCCTGGTGCATGTCTTAAAAGTATCTAAGGGCAGGCATCTCAATAGCAAGGGAATAGGCAGGACGTCTCCAGTGGAAATGACGGTGGGTGGGGGTGTGTTTGATGCAAGTCTTCTATTATGAAGAACGAGACCTTTAAGTATATTATGGACACATGGTCAAGAAGAAGGGAATCACACATTGTTTGTCTGTAAATATGAGCTGTATTTCACTGACATTCAAACCACAATGGGAGCTGTGGTTTCATTGAGTGGGCTAGAAGGGAAACTCAAAAGGCCAATTGGTTTTGCCTCAGTTACATTCAAAAAAACTAGCTTTGAATCCTGAGCATTGTTTACATATGAAGGCGGATATAAAAGAGCATGTTGCACGTGCTTCAAACTCCACCTTCCTTCTTCTGCAGAGAAACAATGGGGTAAAGCCAGCCTAGTTTCCAAACTTGACCTGGAGAGCCATCCTGCATGGCCACAGTCCCTGTTGCTCTGGAAAACTACCAGTGCCCAGGTCCCAATTGCCAAATTCCTGTATGAGATTGTATGTATGTGGTGCAGATAAAATCTCTTGAGACATCCAGTGGCTGGGATAAGGGCACCCCAGAAGGAAAGGATACCAGCAGTTTTGGCTAGAAGCAAGTCAAAGCCTTCCGATCTTGGAGGAACCAGGGAATCCCACTTTCCTTCTCATCTTGCCATTATTAATAGATTTTTTGCATGGTACCTGTGTGTGTGTGTGCGTGCGTGTGCATCTTTTTTTTCTTTTTGGCTTCATAGCAGGTTTTGCCTTTTTAAATAATGTCAAGTTTCTAGAGAATTTCAGGCACTTATAAGTTTTTTCTTGACTTTCCAAGCTGGGCCAGAACGGGATGCCACGGAAATGTTGTAGAGCAGAAAGAAGAAAAGTTGAAGAGAGGGCCCTGTTCCTTTGATTTTGTGTGAATGACAGAGGGAAGGAGGGAGGGAGGGAGAGAGAGAGAGAATGAGAAAATTTTAAAGATGCTTAATTGAAATTTGGCACTAGCCTAGAGCATTGGGATGCTCAAAAATAGCTTTATGAAAGTTAGTATCATCTTAGAGAACATTGCTCTATTTTTTTTTTTTTCTGAAAAAGCAGAGGCATATACACCATGGAGATTTCTTCTTGATCTTGGTTTGATAGCATTTGGAATTCAGAAGTTAGGGAAGCAAATATACAACATCTGTTCCACCCCTAACTCTACCCCTGTTCCAAAGTATTATCTACATAACAAGTAAGAAACAGTTAGCAAAACAGCATTATGATTGCAGCCTCACAACTGTTGTGTTGTAATCCAAAGATGAATAACAGTGTGCACCAGCTGCAATTGCTTCCACACCCCTCCCAAGCATCCCTATAGGCTGATTTGACCCTAGAGAAAATTAAAGGGAAAGATGAGGTGCCTTAAGCCTCTATGACAGGGGTGTCAAACTCATGTCATCACGGTGGTGTCATGTGATGTATCGGGACTTTTTCCCCCTTCGCTAAATCAGGCGGAGACGGGGCCAGCACGTGATGCATCCAGCCCGTGGGTCCTGAGTTTGGCACCCCTGCTCTACGAGCAAAGATATTTAGTTAACACCTTAAACCTGCCAATTACCAGCAAAATGCTGAGGACTTCAGCTATGCCCACAAACAGAGAACCCTCATGCTGGTCTCTCTTTTAACCCACATTTTTCCATTTCTATACTAATTATGTGCTGAGAGGTAGAGACTGTTTTTAAATAGATATATGTGCGTACATGAAAATACAATATATTCCAGTGCATCACCTACCAGATAATATCAAGTGATATGGTGTCACTTAGAAATCAGTATTTCACCTTACCATTTTCTGATCATAACCGTGCAGAAATAATTGATGCTTCAGCTCTGTAACTTCAGTTCAGTAACTGTCCAATCCATTCAATAACAAAATTACATTTTGGTACTAATAACTTCCTGTTCCTCCTATGGAAGAAAAATAGCCGTGCATCTTCTTACCCAAAGATGCATCCTTAGTTCTTGGGTGTGTGTGAGAGAGGGGGAAAAAGATTATATGTGTGTGTGTGAGAGAGAGTGCCAAGCAACAAACTGTATATAGTGAACAATAATCCAGTTTGAAACTGGTTGCATTATCATGGCTTCTTGCATTAGAAATTGTAGTTTTGTGAAGGTGCTGAAGGTTTGTCATGATGAAGCCTATGCTACAGGTTTAAATTGGTTTGAAACTACTGCTAAATAGGAATACTCCCCCCTTCCCAGTTATGTAAAAATCCTGAGCTTTCCATGGTTCTTTAATTTCAACTCCAATACAGAGTTCATAGACATAAGAGTGCAGCCAGCATGAAAGTACCCAAAGTATGATTCAGTCAGGCCTATTTCAGAAAGTCTGTAGTGCAAATTACTGTGGGGTGTTTTTTTCCTCCCCCAAATATGGAATCCATTTTTGATAGGAGACATTTTTTCCACCTAATCAAACCTAACAAAGTGCCAAACATTTGCTGCTGCTTCTTTTTTTGCTTAGAAAAGGGAAGAAGCTAAAGGACTGCTTCTCAAACTCTGTTACTGTCTTATTTTTATTTTTTAATTGAGGCTATAAATGGAAGAGAGATCATAATAGGTTTCAGGTAGCAGTATTTTAAAAGAATTAAAACTGATATTTCTGAACAAAAAGTGCCAAAATACCCTTTGCTTTGTTTTGTTTCGTGTTTACTAGAGTGCCTGTTAACAAAAAAAGGAAACGGTGGCTTTATGTTTAGTAAAGAAGGAGTGGAGTGTTGGAGGCAAAGATTTTAGAAAGTGATTTTTAAGGCACCTGAGAAAGACATAATCTGCTAGGCTAGTTTTAGGCAGAGGTTGTTTTGCAATTGATGGATTCATATATTTGTTCATTGCTGTAGATCAGACTTTCCCATCTGTGAATCCATTGCAAATTCCCAACCAGCATGATGTGTGTGTGTGTATATATATAAATATATATATATATATATGGCCGTAGCAGTGAGGAATACTGGGAATTGTAGTACAACATATCTGGAAAGAGACCAGGTTATGTGAGGCTGCTGTGTAAAATAGGTTGATTGGTTGCGGTAGGATAATCGTCGGGAAAGCAGGTGGAATGGTGTAGAAAATAGTTTGGATGTAGAAACTGAGGGAACAGTTCTGTAGACTTGAGTATTTTGGAAGTCTATAAAATGTAGTTATGCAGGAATCTGGGTTGTGGAGAGGAGAAGTAAGAAAAATAAGTTGTTCCTCAAAATCAGGGTGCTATTGTAGATTAAGGAAGCTTTAGTCCAGGGCTGTCCAATCTTAAAGACTTGGAAGACTTGTGGAGTTCAACTTCCAGAATTCCCTAGCCAGCCATGCTGTCTAGGGAATTCTGGGAATTGAAGTCCACAGATCTTAAAGTTGCCAAGATTGGACACCCCTGCTTTATAGTCCATGTGTGTCTAGAGAGCACCACGTTAAGGAAATTTGGTCAAAATACTTAACAAATTTGAAATGTTTATTTATTCCTTTGCTGAATATAGAAAACAGAGGTTATCTGGTTATTAAAATATATTATTTTGGATAGACATATGACTTATAACTTGCTATGGCTGGTACCCATGTAAAATTCTGGTGTTAATAACCATATACATTTTTTTCCTTCTATTTCCCCCCTTTGGAAAAGAGAACATTTTCCATGAACACTGTGTGTAGGTACATTGCTAAGTTCAGTATGTTTTTTGTATCTTGTGTAATGAACAGAGGCTTCAGATACATTTTAGAAGCCACCATCCCTTCCTCTTAAATCCTGTATTGAGTGCAGGTAGAAAACAGATGATTAAAAAAAAAACCACAACTATCCAAAATAAAATTAAATGTATTTATAAAAAAAAATAGTTGCATGCTGAAGGCCATGGAAGTCAAATGTTTAGTATTTTTTTAAAAAGTGGCAGTGCCTTTCGTTTTTGTATTTACCATTTATTGCTCAATGCAACTGTTTTATAATAAGCAATTATATGATAGTTTCAGAAAATGCAAACTATTTCACTACATAGAAATGTGTGTTCTATTTTTTTTTTTTCTTGTTCTCATTACAAGAGTGTGTAAGCTGGATACCTCTGCCTGCTCTGCCAGAGATAACTTTTACTATGCGGTTATCATGTATTAAATTTATATTGGTGCTTTTCTTTCTAGTGATTTATGACACTTGTTGAATAAATACAAACAAATTTATGTAACGCAATTGAGGGGGTGAGAGTAAGGGGATGAATTCTAGTTTTTATGCTGCTTTTAAATTTATTTGAGGGACAATAGTTGACAAGAGGAAAAAATCTGGTAATGCAGTGGGTGAAGCATTTTCACACTTACTCTCTGCACTGTGATAACTTTCTGTACTGCAACCCAAAGCAGTTCAGCATTTTGAAGGGTCCTTGACTGTGATTCACAAAGGAGAAATAAACTGTAGGCCTTGTCCTCTGGCTAATTATTACATTTAGAAAAGAGCCTGATTATATGGTGATGGGAGATAATTGTCATTAGACTTGCTGGTTTGTCACCAATCAGCATGTACTCATTCTCATGATTGTTGTTAAATTCCCAATTATTGAAGCTCCATGTGAATTAGCCAGGATAACATTTTAGGCCTTTCCAGTTCAGCATCCAAAATGTCTAGTCAATCATTGTTATTTAATGAGATTTAAAGATTGGTCATCAACAATCAACTTTGGCCTGTATAGGTAATAAACACACTTTATTGAGACTAGTAGCTCGGTTTAAAAAGGAATGTATTTCTGTTTTGTAGCATCTAATCCAAATGTTATCTCTAATCCAGTGTTTCTCAACCTTGGCAACTGGAAAATGTGCCGATTTCAACTACCTGAATTTCCTAGCCAGTTATGCTGCTTAGGGAATTCTGGGAGTTGAAGTCCAAATATCTTTGAGTTGCCAAGGTTGAGAAACAACTGATCTAATCTAATGGCTCTTTAAAGCACAAAAAGGCTTTGGAGCTTCACACAAGAAGAGATTTGTAGGCTTCCACTTAGAGCTCCATAAACAACCACTTATTGAGAGCATCATGTTTGTGCTGGAATCCTATAGAGAGTGGGATTAATTGGAGGAGTTAGAATTCAGTAGGCAAATGTCCCATCCATAGATAACAAGACTCTGCTCTCATTTTGTGTGGTAGACTCAGAGACATCTGCAAGTGGCTGTCACCAGGGGATGGGTATTGTAAACCAGTGGTCCCCAACCTTTTTTATGCCGCGGCCCGGTACCGGCATCAGCTGGGCGCCGCCATCTTGTTTTGATGAAAAAGTGCTTCCGGTGAGCTCACCGGAAGCACTTTTTTATCAAAACAAGATGGCGGCGCCCAGCGCTTCCAGTGAGCTTTTCCGGGTAGAAATGGCTTTCTACCCGGAAAAGCTCACCGGAAGCACTTTTTCATCAAAACAAGATGGCGGCGCCCAGCAAACCAGCGGCCCGGTAGGATTTGTTCCACGGACCAGTACCGGTCCGTGGACCGGTGGTTGGGGACCCCTGTTGTAAACAACCGTGTCCCAATGGAAACTCCACTCCTTTAGTAGATGCATTGTGAAGTTGTATGCATGTATGTAAGAAAGGGGTAGAGCTTACCTAGAGCTGCTGCTTTTGTCCTTATGATGAAAGCTTTTTTTATCTTGCAAATTATTCTGGACAAGCTTGAGTATTCAAACTCAAGAAGATTGCAACCCTCTGCCATCAGGCAGCCTCTTTACATTATTTAGACATTGAGCTTTGGCAGTGCCTTTTTCTCTTGTCTTAGATGAGGCGAAGAAATAAAAATATCAAAGAAAACTAATCTTTCTTTATGCCATTTGCTGCTCCTTTTTTGGCAACTGGAACCTTTTCCAGTTTGAACCCAAGATTCGACCCTATTTTCCTTGACTTTTCTTGGGAGCAGGTGGAAGAATGTTTCTTGCTGACCAGCTCTATTCCCTGAACAAAGAACTGTTTTGATGGGAAACATACAACTTTGTACGTGTTTCCTTGTCTGTGACTGCAGAATTATGCTCGTGATTTAGCCCTAGAACCCAGGACCCACCATATAGTCAGCTTCTTAGCCTTTCTCTTCTCCTGGGTTTCAAGCAGCTAAATTAGAAGTTCTGAATGGTCTTGTTTCCCCTTCCCCATCTCACATAGGAACACAAAAAAAATGTGACCTACGGACACATATCCCGTCCCATTAGGTGTTGGGTTCAGGAGTGTTGCACCCTCTGTTTTCACTAGACGAGATGGGAAAGAGAAATGAAGAGATGTTCAGAAGAATAACAGGTCCACCTTTCTGGTAGCATGTAGTGGATAGAGTCCTCTTCCTGCCTCTCCTATCAAGGGTTTTCTGGATGTGCCTGATTCTAAGAAGTAGAAAGAGTAGATCTTGTAGAAAGTATAATTTGCACACAGCTATGATAACACTAAAGTTGATTTTATACAAGTCATCAAAGTTTGCAAAGTGAGTTTTATTTTTTGTATTCCTTTAATCTTTACTTAAAAAGTGAATGTGTATTCCTCTGGGAGGAATTGCAAGAAAACAGGAATGTTAATAAATGTTTAAAAATAAAACAGAATACTTCCTCCCTTATTAATATATAACCCTTATGTATTTATGCCTACTGTAAGCAAATGAAACAGCTTGGATTTCCATTTTGTTGCATGCCTGCTATCGGCAAAAATGAAAAAAAAAAAGAGCCTTCTATTGTACATGCATGCATTTTAGTCTTGATCTCTTTCTTTCTGTTTTATTTTATTTTGGTTAGGGGGAAGCGTGTATTTCCCCTGCATAAAGTTAGTGCACAAAGAAATATTTTTGCCTAGTTAATGTTGCCAAGCAATGCATATTTTTAAAAGAAATTTGTCATATATGGAAATAGCATGTTTGTTTACATGTATCAGCTTCCTGATTAATCAGAAGAAGAAGAAGGGGCAGGGAAAAAGTCTAATGTTTGGGGAATGCTGTAATTTCTTTGCAAGTGTACAGTTTTCAATTTGTTGTTATTACTGGTGAAACACCCTTGTGATTTCAACTTGCTACAATATATATTTATTACTCGTTCTCCTTCCATGTAACTAGGAATCATGCCTATGTTTCATATCAACGTTATATTGAAAGTGAAGGGAGATGATTAATACAAGATTTTGTAACATTGGGGAGTGTTGCCTCTTTATTTGGTGTGTTTGGATCAAGGAGTACTATTTTTCCTCTGAAAGGAAAGAAAAACCTGCCGTCTTCACTGTGAATTAATTTCAGCAAAGGCTTTAATTCAGCATTCTGTAATGTTGCAGAACAGGATTAAATTGAATAGAAAAACGGGATAAATATTTAAAAATATATATGCTCAAGACATCCTTGACTACTGGCATTCTGGATAAAACAAGAGTTTATGAGGGCATTTCTGGATCTTTTTCCAGCTTCTTGGGTAGTTAATGGCACAGAGGCATCAGAAAAGTGTGGCTCCATTCACACATTACCTTGTTTCTCAACCTCAGCAACTTTAAGATGTGTGGAGTTCGCTGAGGCGAATTTTGGAGTTGAAGGCCGCACATCTTAAAAAGTTGCTGAGGTTGAAAAACTCTGCCTTTAAGGCATGGATTATTCTGTACTTCAGAGTAGGCACGGTTCATATATTGTCCATTCATATCCTTTGTAAGGTCCAACAACTTAGAAAAGAGTACATGTGGTTGGTCTGACCTGGATTTAGTACAATGTATATGAACCCAGTTTTTGAAAATTGCAAATCCAAGGTTTATTGCATTGGGACACAACTTCCAGCATTTTGAGGTCCTCAACAGGTTTGGTGAGGCAGTTTGAAGGCCACGTTTCAAAAAACAATACATTGTATTCTCTCAAGCGTTCTTCACTTCTTTGGCCCAACTAGGCTCTGTGAGTTGAAAAGAAACATTCTTATGAAGATGGTTTTTGCACTGTTTTATACATGTAATATTGTACAAGGTAAACTAATTGTACCTAGATTTTTGATTAAGTCAATGATGATTTAAGTTTGTGGTTTACTCATCTGCACATAGTACAGACCAAATGTACTGGAGACATGGACCACAGATACTTCTTAAACCCAGATATATGAAAATTGTCTGCAAACCCAGACTCCAGATTCCAAATTTATATTTTAATTGAATCAGAATAATGATTCTTAAGTATGCTAACACCCTATTTATTTATGTATTTATATATTCAGCAAATTTATATAGCCATAAATACAAATGATTCATTTACACATTTAAATATGTGGATGAATCATTTATCTGGAAATAAAAATGGAGCAAATTATTCCAAACTTGATGAAAGAGCTTGCCATAGCCAGGACCG